GAAGCGCAGCAATGGCACGCTGATATTTTTGCTGTGCTGCGCCAGAATGCCTACACTTTTCATCCTGACCCAGCACGTCTTCATGTTCAGGAGGGCTTCCACCAATGCCCTGACTGCCCTCGGTGGTTCACCACGCCCCAAGGGGTTCACATGCACCGACGGAAGGTACATGGCATTTTCTGCCCGGCATGTTTGACATATCTGTGGAGCACCCAGAGACTCCAGCAACATTTGACCTACATGCCGAAGGACGGTTCCCCTAACGCATGCTTTGCCTACTTGCAGGAGATTGGGTACGCGGTCACCTACTCCGCAGAGCATTTGCCACAAGCGCTTGTCGGACAATCCAGGCGTGATGCCATGCCTGCTGCTGGTCCCTTCGGTTGTGGTCCATCTGCATCCGAGAAGCGCCTTGCTGCCTTGACCACAGCCCGAGCAGCGCTTGCAGCGGAGTACTCTGTATATGAGCAACCAGACAACGCGTTTGATGCTGGCGCTCGTCTTGGAGACCTTCTGACTACGGTTACACGTAGATGGTATCATGACTTTGTGCAGGCTTCTTACCGTTTTGAAGACGTTGAGCGACCACAGGACAGATGGATAGATGTGCTTTGTAAGCTCCCATCTGACTATGAATCCTGGACTGCACGCGTTTTCATCCTATGGGGGCGCCACATTCTTCCAGACTTGATTGCCGAGCTCTTTGATGCTGAAGCAGAAGCATACTTGGATGGGGAATTTGCAGATCTGGTGAATGAATTTGATGAATATCACCTTGAGGAGCGCTTGCGCAAGATGGATCATTTGATTCGTCAGGCCATGCGTCGTCCTGAAGCTCCGGAGCCGCATAGGCCAGTCCGTCCTCCACAAGAGAATGCGAGACCCAGGTCGCTCCCCCAATTTGAGGTTGTGCGACTTTTTGACCGGCAGGAACAGTGGCAAGATGATTTTGGGCGTGTGAGATGGGAAGATATGCCGCCTGATCCGCATGTGCCTCTAGTCCCCGGACTGGCTCCGCGACCAACATTCATCATTGTACACCTTTTTGCTGGGCGCCGCCGTGACACAGATTTCCATGCATGGTTAGACCAATGGGCTGGACGCTGGAATGTTTCCCTGACCATTTTGTCCCTAGACACGGCGATATCGCCAGTCCTGGGCAATCTGGACTGCCGCTCCGAGACCTGGCAGAAGATCCAAGAACTTTATCTTCAAGGACTTGTAGCCGCAACGTTATCAGGGCACCCATGCGAGACTTTCTCCTCTGCTAGGTGGACACCGCCTCCTGAGGGACATCCGCAGCAGAATTGGCCCAGGCCGCTCCGAACGGCAATGCAGCTCTTCGGCTTAGATCATAGGACTTTCCGAGAGATGCGCCAAACGAGATTGGGCACGGCCTTTTTTCTGCAAACGCTATGGACCCTTGCTTGTCATCTGGCTTATGGTGGATTCTTTATTGAAGAACATCCGGGAACTCCTCAACAAGCTCATCATCCTTCGATCTGGAAGAGCTCCATCCTGCGGGTCCTTCGACAGCACCCAGATGTGAGATTCCATGAAATTGGACAGTGGAGGTTTGGTGCGACGTCAGTTAAGCCCACGGGCTTACTGACCCTTCGTCTCCCCTACTTCCTGAAGGATCTCTACGAGCATGCTGACGCTGCGGCCCGGCGTCCCACAGCGCATGCGATTGGCTTGGATGCTGAGGGGGCCTTTAGGACTTCGTGTCACAAAGAGTACCCACCCCGGCTGTCAGCTGGGCTAGCAAATGTGGTGGGCTCCCAACTTCTACGCACCATGCGTATGAAGCAGGTTAGAGCAACCACTGAAGTGCCACTTCCCCTTGCACGTTGGATCACAGACGTGAACCGTGACAGTACAGTTGTCAGGGCAGCCAAATCATGGCTCCCTGACTATCAAGGGTAGAAGTTTTTGGCCCCAAATTAGAGAGCTATGCATGTCGGCCGCAAGGATTTGACCTTTGTCCGCCAGTGAAGTGAAGTGAAGTATATATAATATATGATATGTATCAATTAAATTTAATTCATATGTCAGAATCTAATGCTAATCAAATTGTTTGTTTGGTAAATATTGATCCATGTTCATAACCCATGCCATGACATTGGGATTGCAACGTGCGGACCGCGGACCCAAAAAGGTTCCGAAATTTTGTTGGGATCTGAACTGAAACCATCCAAATGTTCGGGCTCACGTGGAGCTATCTAGCCATCTCCATGGATGTGGGAAAAAAAAATATATATATATATATATATAATTATATATATAGAGGTCTGAAACATACCATACTCTCAGCATTGCAACATTAAGGAGCTAAACCCATAGTTAGATGATGTTCAACTCTTAAACAATGATGGGATTTCCAACATGTTCCAACCTTTTCCAACGCAAATATGGCCGATCTTCTTCGCTGCCAGGGCACATCTGTCCGTCCCAACCAACATTCACCGTGTTGGTGCACATCAGCTCGGGCACAGTCTGTTCGTTAAAGTTCCTCACCAATAAATCCTGGCTCCGGTTACTCGGAGATGTGCTGGGGGACACCAAGAAATGCCCACGACATTCCCGAAACAGATTCCTCAAATGGTGGATGATTCCTCAAATGGTGGATTTATATATGTGGATTTACCTTTGGGAAAATCAAAAATCACTTTCAGCAACTCTGAGAAAACTGATGAATGAACGATGAAACGACGGGACAACGATGGATTGGAACACTCGGTGATGGATCAAAGAAATCACACTTGCTGTACCTGCTTTGAAGATCTTGCGCGCAGCAGCTCGCTTGGCTCACTTGCATAAATATAGTGACACCCGAACAAAGTGTTCACCCCAAAATGTAAAAGCTGGAATTCAAGGGTGGCAATCTCCTGAATTCAAAATCATACGACACAAAGGTCACCAAGGACCTTGTGATTGCCGACAACACCAATAAAACCTATGCGTGTAAATCAAGATATTATGCATAGTGAGTTCAAGGAATGTCCCAGGCCCCACCGCACTAGGACTCATCCTCCTCCTCCTCATCATCACCATCATCATCATCATCAGCATCACCATCACCATCACCATCATCATCATCATCATCACCATCATCACCATCATCATCATCACCATCACCATCACCATCATCACCATCACCATCACCATCACCATCACCATCACCATCATCATCATCATCATCACCATCATCATCATCATAGGTATCATACAAGCAATCATCATCACAATAGGTACAGTATCCATAGGTATCCGTCATAATGGGATATCAACAAAGACTTCATAAACACGTCACCGTCATCAGTAATTACAAATAGTTCTTGACCATCCTCTATGACCAGGGAGACCACACTTATATGATATGGCGCTTTCACGAGCTGAGCAGCAAAGATGGGCCGAAAAGTCAACCAGTTTCCATCGCTAATATCAAGAAATTCCCTCAGAGATGTATTGAAACATGGGATTTCCGGCATGTTTCAGGGATCCTCCAGGGAATTTCCCATAGGTTTTTCCAGTGATTTTACCTGTAGTTTTCCAAGCTGAGTCAAGCCGAGCATCCATATAGCCTTCTAAGGCGCCTCCACAAAACAGCCGACCAGAGTAGCGCTGGCCACTTTTATCTCAAGGGCACCATTCTTAGTTCACCCAGTTGAGGAATATAATATGCATACGTGGGAATGTATGTATGCATGTATGCATGTATGCATGTATGCATGTATGCATATATACATATGCAGTGTATATATATATATATATATATATCATTATATGTCATAGTATATCTTAGATATGGCAGATATGGGTGATTGTCCAGTCACCAGCTGAGCAGTGGAACCAAAACCATGGGCAGTCAAGCCACCATCCCCAGATTTCACATCATCATCACAGTTCTGAAACTTCGACGTTCAAATGTCAATGTTTGAGTTATCTTTCAAATATTATATATATAATTATAGTTAATTATCTATATCATATACATATATATATATGTATGTATATCATTCCTTGGGCGGTTCAATTCTGGCAACTGATCTGCACCCGTCCCCAAAGTACCCTCCTCAAGGGAAACAATCCCAGATCATCGGAAGCACCAAACAACTGCAGTTGCGAAAATATTCCACAGCGATATAGGAAGTTCTACCACCCATCCCAACCACCCAGCCTTTCTTTTGCAAGAAGTCAAAATAACGGGTGATTGGCATGTTGCATATGGTCACCAGTCCTCAGCAGTGCTAAAAAAAAGATCTCATCATCCGTGATGGATACCAACATAATGGTGATGGGTTCAAATGTGGTACCCTTTGGTTATCTAACATATCTATAGAAAATGGCCCATTTACAGATATTTTTCCCATTAAGACCTCCATTTACAATGGATTTTCCAGTTCGCTATGTTAAATAACCAGATGGTAACCCAAAACAGGATGCTTTCGGAGCCGAAAAGCTGCCGAACACCGTACCTTACATTTCGACCCACTGCCCATGGCTTTGTCCACTTGTTACCTCATCCCACGTTTTCACCATGTGTCCCATCGATGCCTTTTTGAGTGGAGATATACCAACCATTTCCCGACAAACCCAGATTATATATAACATTATATAATATTATATAATTATATTCCAGACAAGCCCATAAATTGCATATACTTATTATATAATTCTGTATTAGTGGATGTCTATGAAGTTGCTGAAAAAATCCAATCCCTGGCTGTAGAAATCGCAGGTCCGTGACAGGTCACATCACCTGGATTTGTGACCTGGACGAACTTCCAGTGGGCTCTTCGTCAGAGTCAGAGTCTGAAACACACTTTACTTACTGGTGCTAAACGTAGGGAATGAGGGAATGATCCATAATCGCTATCAATAATTATACCATATTATCCCATTTCCATCCATTCCCTACTAAGCACCAGTAAATTTACTAAGGTGAAAACAGAGAAGCCCTGCCTATGTCATGGTTTGGGTGGTCTTTGTAGCTCCTTTTAAACATCCTCAAACCATCTCACCAAACCCAAGCCACGATCAAACTTGATTCCATAGGCGTCACCCAGCTCTTTCTTGTATTGCTTCTGAAGCCTGGGGCTGGGGCCGGTGGGCTTCCAACTGAACCCGAAGTTTCCTTCGGCATTTCCAACGTATTCAAAGATGGTAACCTGGCAGATTTGGCAGAAGTTTCCATGGCCGTGACCAAACTGGCCCATATCAGCAATCCCATGACCTGTCGCAATCCCAATATCGAATCTCCTGTTTTCGAGCTTCTCTCGAAGTAGCATTCCCCTTGTGGAAATCAGGGATTTAGAGCTGGGGCATGGGGCAACATGGGGCAACACTCACAATAAGCAGCCAGTCCCTTGGACCCATAACCTGGGACATGTCCACCCCAAAAGATCTCGCAACTGAGCTTGCTGAGCTTCTGTTGGTGGGTTTCATAGTTTCTACGACAATATAAATGGCATAACCGACTTCGGAGACTTCTGAACAAGGGCTATTGAACACTATTTAACATGCATGAAAAGCAGTTAAGACTTGGAATAATCCTCCAGTTTCATAGGCATTCTAATCAAAACCTAATGTGGGTAAAACAAAAAAATAAACCATTCCCCAGTCATCATCACTTTTATAGGTGGTATGCTTACCATTTCCAGTCATGGGTGGTAAAAATGGCAGTGTTTTACCCACAAAAAACATCAGAAATAATCATCTTTAATAGGTATAAATCAACTATAAATCAACTATAAATGGGCAATGTTCAATAGCTATGTAAATTTACCAAAGGGTAATCATCACATTACCATCTGGTTGGTGGTTGAGCCACCCCTCTGAAAAATAGTCCGTTGGGAGTATTATTCCCAATATATGGAAAGCCACAAAATTCATGTTCCAAACCACCAAACATTACTGGCTTTGGAAAATCCGCACTGCTGATCAACTCCGGCAAGTCGCTTGCACTGCTGTGGCGGCAAGAAGGGGCCAGGGGGGTTGAAGACGAGGTCCAAATGTAGGCCGATGCCTCGACAAGACGCGCTGCCCGGCTTAAAGAAATGGAAAAACATTGCTATGGAAAGTATGGAAGTCACCTTTGCAACTAGGTACATCATCATCATCATCATCATCATCAGCATCATCATCATCATCAATAAATGGATCATGTTCATTCATGTTCCATAGCTATGTTAAATTACCATAGGGCAGGTGAGGAAATCAAGATATTAGTTGTGATTTTTCAGCGAGAACAAATGGGAAATAATGGACACACATTGCGATTTCACCAGCATTGCGATGATCCAACAGTAATCTTTGTGTTTTGCAAGTGGCTATGAAAACTAATTGATAGATAATGGTTATGAAAACTGATTGGAAAACAAATTTTGTGTTTTGCGAAAAATCCAGAAAGTTCCGAAAAATAAACCCTTCTGACTTTATTGTTCCTGATTTGTCTTGAATCACTGTACCCATCTGTAGCCATAATCCATGCAGTTCTTGGGGAACATCATCCCATTTAATGCATCGGCGATCAAAATCGATCATTATCCATCAACCAGAATGGGATAATGTAATATTATGGGATTCCATTAAAATATATAAAAATGGGATAACATATTGGATAACATTGGATAAACATCTATTACCCTCCAGTAAATTAACATAGACCCTGGTAGAAAACGGGGTTGGAAGATTAGTTTCCTCTAAAAATTGGTGATTTTCAGGGTCTATGTTAATCTACCAGAGGGTATATAACCAGCTTTTTTGATGTTTGAGAAATATCCCATGACACGGTGCCCATAATAAACCCGTGACGCCTTCACCATAGCCGTGCTGGTTCAGGATTCGCAATCCCTGCAGGGTAGAAGCCGATTGCAACGTCACTTAAAATGGTGATCTTCATGCTTGACATATCCAATGGTGGATAATAGTCCATTTGGATGATTAATAGTGGTTAATAGTGGGATAATAGTGATTACCATCTGGCTATTTAACAGTTCGCCATGGAAAGATCCACCATTTTATAGCTAGGTAAACCATCTATTTCTATGGGCCATGACTCCATGGCTATGTTAGTCATAACCAGAGGGTATATTAATGTATGAATATCACATTGCCTGGGAATCAAACCTCTATGAATTGTGGATGATATTTTTGTTGATTAATGACACATTATGACACATTTAACTATGGATGATAAATTCATTGATTAATGACACATAAATCTATGATATCAGATAATTAGGTGAACCCCACTCCTTCTATGAGCCCTTGGTCTTCTTCGGCGATTTCGGTGGATCCAACCGGTCAACATCCGCCTGCACACTACGTTCAAAGACTTTGCGACCTCTCTGCCTTGGAGAGCCATGCCGAGCCCCCGCAGAAATTGGCGCATTGAAGGACCGTCCGGAGATGACGCAACAGATTTAATGTATGAACGTCAGGCCCATGCGTTTATGATTTATGAATAGTTCTGATATATCATGATATATATGATATATCTGATATATGATGGTATCTCATGATATCTATATATATATAGGTGATGATAGTTTGTATGGTTTCTGAATGGATCTCAATCCCAACAGTGTAGCGTGCCGGCCATGATCGCAGACTATCTCCCGGTTGCGCTCCGCACATCTCCCTGAAGATGATCAATGGCAATCGGAAAGTTACTTTCCGTATGGCCGTATGGGCTCAGCTGACTCAGCACTTCAATGAATCAACCACACTTTCTGCCTTGTCTCATGAGTCTCATGTTACATTCCGCATTGCATCCCCAGGTGCAAAAAAATAAAAATGGGCGGCCCATCGTGAAGTCAACTTCCACATGAATGGTACCCAGTGACCTGGAAAACTTCGCGCCTCAGGGATGACAAGTTACCTGATTTACCCCTCAAAAAAAAGGCATCAAAATCGACGTGTCGACGCCCGCTTCAGTTCCAGGTACTTGTCGGTTTGTTCCGCCTCGTAACCTCTGGAGGATTTCTGGGAACATGGAGGCCATCAGTCATGGCAGAGCTATGGCTTAAGGTATATCCAACAGGTCAAGATCACGCGATGAAATGTGGTTTTCAGGTGGTAACACCTCGAATTTGGGACAACACATGCAAAACTGAGACTGAATGAGACTGACTTGGAAAGATCCACCATGTTTAATGGGACAATTCACTGAATTTCGACTGGGCCATTTTCTATGTCGCAAACTGTTAATAATACCATTAAGATCAGCCGTTTGCTTCTCTGATCATCTCTGATCTGCTGCAACCAACACAGCTGGGAAAGTTGGGGTCATCATCCCCATGGACAAAAATCCAATCATACTGTGGATGGTTGAAACCCTATAAATAACGGTATAAACCATCTATAAATAATGGGAAAACCTATAAACAATGGTATTATCATTGATATTGCAATCATCAAGTATCTCTTCCGATCTTGAAAACAAACAAAAAATATATTTATTTCATCCGTTCGAATTAGCACAAACACACCATGTCATGTTCTTCATGTTACCAAATTACCTGCCTCAAACCTGCTAACGGGAAACTCCACACGGGAAACTCCTCCAACCAATGGGAACCCATCAAGTATTCCCAGTATATTCCCAGTATATTCCCAGTATATTCCCAGTATATTCCCAGTATATTCCCAGTATATTCCCAGTATATTCCCAGTATATTCCCATATTCCAAGCCATTCCAAGCCATTCCAAGCCCCAAGGGCCCCAAGATATCCAACCCACAGCCCCAGGGTCCGCGGGTCCCAGGGACTGGGCAAGGAGGCTATGACATGGACCTTGTGTTCCGCCAAGAAATTGGGCAACGTCTCCTGCCCCGGCTCCAGCAACACCTGAAACGTTGAGCGATAAACGTTGGCGGTCGAAACAAGACATGGCGTGGCTGTGAAGGCTGAGAGTATTTGTGTACAAGCTTATATATATATATATATATGTATTATATTTCATATAGCAATAAGAAGAATGAGAATATATACATGGCATATATATATATACACGGCAAATCCTGGGTTTTTGCCTCGGTCCCGCAACAACGACTATGTCCCATATGATAATAATGATAAAAATAATAATGACAATAATAAGAAAAAACATATTAATACATATCTATACATATGCATCTGTGTGTGTGAAATCCCACATACACAATATGCCCCACATATACATATTGACATCATCCCACGTGTATATCTATCTATATACATCACATCTGGTTTGCCTATCAAAGTGCCTCCAAAAAGAAAAGCCAAGAGACCGTCAAGTTGCAGCGATCGATGATCGTGAGTTCACGCTTTTGGCTCTCCTCTGGAATCGGATCCATTTTACAAGCTGAACTATGGGAATAGCTGTAGGATTTGTTGATGGACTATGAGAATCTCCAAGAAACGGTGTGAAAATGGTAGGGTTTTATTCCTAAGAATCACGTTAAGGGAATTTTATGTTTTATGGGCTGATGACCATAGGCTATAGGGTTGTTTTAATCCAAAAAGCACTGGGGATACAATGGGATCTCATGGGGTGTGACTCATGTTGCTGGGACAAACGAGATCTACGGCTCTACATTCGTGATCATGCCAGCAAGGGATGGACGAGAAAAATATGAAAGCACTACTAATCAATTTGTTGTATATATATATAGTATCTATGTATCTATGTATCTATGTATATATGTATCTATGTATCTATGTATCTATGTATGTATATGTATCTGTATCTGTATGTGTATATGGATCTGTATGTATGTATGTATGTATGTATGTATGTATGTATGTATGTATGTATGTATGTATGTATGTATGTATGTATGTATGTACACACATATACATATATGTATATGTATGTATATATATATTATACATTGCCATAGTTATCACCATCGTTATTTGTTTAAGTAGATATCTGTGATGATGACTAGGTTGACTCAAAATCATATTGCTTCAACCACTAATTTTCTTGATGAAGTCCCCATGCGAGTCGTCGTTTTTCTGACAAAAGTTGTCTAATATCCACAAGTATTTGCTAGGTTAAGCCCCTTTTTCATGATGACAACACCCTGCGCATGGCAAAATCACTGTTTTGAAAGCCTAATTCCACCAATCACCCACAGAACTGGTTTCAATGAACATGCACTGGAAACCCCCCATGAACCTGCCGTTGAAATCTGTGGCTTCCCAACGATGCTAGAGGCGAAGTCCGCCCAACATCAATCAACTATACATTCAACGAGTTTCAACATGGTTTAAACATGTAATTATCATATAAACCATGTGTTCCAACTATATAGAGTCTTCCATTACTCACATCAATTCATATAAATTCTATGTAATTATTTTAGTGATCATCACTGTGGCTTTATCTTAGTGGTTTCCTTTGTGTTATCATAATGCCCAATAAGCTAGTATGAACAAATCAACTCAAACGAGGAATTTATTTATGTGAAACATCTTCAAACCACCAATAAAGAATTGAAAGACTTGGGCTGAAATTAGATATTTTAAGATATTTCAATATATTTTAGATATGTTCGAGATTTTCAGACCAAAACATGTTGAAACCATCGATCCAAGCGACCCTCAAGGCTGTTGCCCCTTCCACCAATCGACGGAAGCCATCGTTCAGCTCTGGCGCGCCACCCGTGATGTCCAGATACTGGCGGAGGAGAGACCCTCTAGATCAGGCTTTAATTATATACACAACATAGGTGTAGAATATATAGAATATAAATAATATAATACAGAATATACATATGCATAATATAATATATATAATATAATGTATATATATAGTATTTATATAGTATTTGTAGAGAGAGAGAGAGAGTTGTGTATATATATATTATAACTGTGTTATATGACATAACTGTGATAACATGTAGCTATTGACATATAGTTATATATTGTTATGTATAGAGGTATAGTTTGTTACTATACACAGGCGGTTTAGTTATATAAGAATAGCCTAGAGTTGGTGATGATAGCTATATACTCTATAGACTATGACATACATCATGTACACACACACATTATACATCTCGCAATGTTTCTGGAGTCTCAAGCGAAAACATGTCAGCAAACCTGGTGCAGTCGGAATCCACCAACTTGCAGTCCAAAAGGTAGGGCTTAGGACAAGTTTGGTTGAGTTAGAAAAAAAGCTAGCAGCTAGCAAAAGGATAAGAGACCTGCTGGAAACAGTGGGATTGTTCACATCAAAGTCACCTACTTCAAGCATGGGTATACCCTTAAAACCTATGATCATATTCTAACAGAGGGAAAATGCCATTCAAAGCCAAAGCCAGTGGATTTACGATGGATTTAGAGGTGTCCCCTAAATGTTCAGGTACCAAAAAACAAAAAAACACTGAATTCTGATGGCTTTTCATGAATCTGGTAAACCCTACCTAAATCTGAGCAAACCATGAATACCCTCCTTTGTGTCATGGAAAAATGTGGCTGGCTGGAAAATCCCATTTTTAGTTAGCTATTATCTCAAAAAATCGTTGGTTAAAGTCTCATCAATCACCATCAATAAGAACCATCCCGAATGACCCTACCAGAAACCTATCAGAAATGCCGACCGCTTTTTCAACGCCGGGGTGGCCTTCACCCCTGGGGAGTTCTTCAGCAATAGCAAACATCGATCGACCACTTCCTACCGAGCCAAGCCCCAAGGCCCCCTGATAGAGCAACAGAATCATCCGACTTGGTGAAACATTGGGAAAAATGCCCTGAAAATTGGAATTTGATGAAATTGATGATTGAACCAGACTTTTATTAAGTTGGTGGAACTAGGTCCCTAGGGGAATTGTGGTGAATTGTATTCGAAATGGTTTATGGTGAAAGATAAGAAACTCGTGGGCTGAAACACCAACGTGGGCATCACTGGAACCACCTCGTAGCTGGGAGCGTTGACAATATCACAGGGGCTGTGTAGACTTAGCATGAACCAATGTTAACCCAACAAAAGGGCAATATCCAATTGCAATGTACATGTATATATGTATATATTTATATGTATAAATAAATACATAAATGAATATATACATATATCATATAAAATATATAGTGTGCATATTCATATATATATATGTACATGTATATCGATTGATGTACCAGGAAGTCAGCTGTTGCTGAGACCAATTTTTACCAAAGCAAGCCCCTGTATCTTTCAGCGATTTTTCAAAATAAACTCAATTAATGTGTGAGGAAATTGTGCAGCAAAAGGCTATGGTTTTGACCAACATGCGAGAAAGTTTCCCTCAAACTTTCACTGAGTACTTGAGGATTCACATCGTGGTCCTCCCCTCTTTGTCGCTGCAGCTAAAGTCTAAGATTCCTGATGCCGAACTTGGCCAAACTGATCACAAACCATTCAAATCAATCACTAACATCATTCGGCCAACAATTCACGAAGCAATTCCCAAGTCTTGGTCCAAACTTAAATTATATAGATTTATCATAAAATTCACCAGCCAGTCTGCTTCAAAATGATCAAACTTCACCAACACTAAAATTCAAAGATTTTCCCAGCTATAAACCTCCATTTAGTTCGGTGATCTTCCCGTGATTTTCCCATGTTTTTTTCATGGATTTCCAAAAAAAGGTGTTGGTTTGAATTCCATCATTTGCCCTTTGTGGGTTTTCCATCCATTTTCCCATGATTTTCCGAGATTGTCAGGCTCTGTTATTCCGGGTCGATCAAAATCGATCTTGATTTGTTGATGAAAACACACACACACACACAAAACACACACACACACATCTTTGATATTTTTCTCCAAAACATACCAAATAGCAGACCCTGATTGTCCCATGATTTTTCCCATGGGTTTTCCCCATCAAAAAAACTCCTGGGACATCATTTCCTTCCTCAGAGGCGATGACTCCACATGACAATGGCCTCAGTGGTCGACCACTGTTGCCAGCCATGGAAAAAAATAAAGGCTGACGACTCACCAGCAGATTTGTAGTGATTTAACATGATTGAAACATGATTAAACCAGCAAGCATGTTGTTTTTTTGCAGTTTTGTTTGTATATTTTGTCAGATATGTTAAGCATGACAAGATACCGACTTCATGTGATTCCACCATCGAAAGATGGTGTAATCATCATACATGGGGATTACCAACAAATTGGATAAACAATGGTAGTTTTACCCACAAATGCAGCTATGGGTGTGTCCTGAAAATTGGTAAGTGTACATTCTACCGGCAAACATTGCATTTTGAATGGGGAACATCATGATAAACAACTGGATATCCATTTGCGAATGATAATGATGACATCAAGAGAATTACTCATGCGTGCATTCCGTGGCACTTTCAATCATGTTGTCTTTTTGTACACGGTGTATGGATATCCCAGAATAGGACTCCTTACTGGACAAAAATCCTACAGCAGTGGATTGATGGCCATACCTCAAGAAATGGCTATGTCATCCAGCTTTTGACGGCACATGACCAAGAGTTGATGACCAACTTTGCCCATACCAAATTGTAGGATCTATGGCACTAAGTGGTGGATCCAACCTCATAACTGGTGCCCGAAAAAGTGGGGTTACCCCATAAGTGGGATGATCTTCCAAGTAGCTTGCGAGACCCCTTGGGTGGCTTTCTGATGGATGTTTGAAAAAGCCCATTGATCCAATCTTTATGGGATGCAAAACGCACGTGAAGAAGACAATAGTTCAAGTGTATGTACATGTATATATATAAATATATATATATATATGTATAGGTGTACATATATATAGACGTACAAATACGTATTTATACACATATAATACGTATTTATATATATATATACACATGATACATACGTGTGTGTGTATATATACACATGTCTATACATATATATATATATATGTGTGTGTACGATCATATGTGTATGCATATATATATATATACACACACACTCTTGTAATTTGTTACCTAGCTACAGAAAATTATCCAATTTATAGATGATTTACCTATTATTTCCATGGCCATTCTCCATGTCTACGTAAGAAATTACCAGAGATTGCAGCTAGAACCCTGGCAGTTCAGATACAAACCTTAATGATCCCATCGATAACAATTTCTTGCAGCCAAAATTTGGCTTTTTGAGTATCCACCATCCATTTTTTGGAGACAGATTTTTTTTCAGAGTTGGTTATATCATGTTATATCCATTAAGAATCATACCTAGCATAGTAATCTTTTACATGGCAGGAAATTCCACCATTGAAAGTGACTACCGGAGAGTAAACCATCAGATGTTCCATGAATGATCAAAAAATCCCCAAAAAACTGCTGAAGTTGAATTCCCAAAACAAAAAAACAGAAATTTGCAGGTCTGATTTTCACCCATCGAATCGTGTTGTTTCCATAAATCACCAATCCGCAGCAGGCAATCTTCGAGGCCAAGAGACTGCAGGCTTGGTTACAGTATAGACCTGGCGTTTTTTTATCCAAGGAACTGCAAAAACGAACCTAATCAGTTGACAAAATCTTCAACGATCCAAGTGGCAAAAATTGGATCATTCCCAGAGGATCCATGGTGCTGGAATATTTACCTACATTGACCCCCAAAGTAATTTAAAATAATCCCAATGTAGGTAAATATTCCATACATGGATCCTTAGGGATTGATGGTATCAAAAAGTACTAGACTCGACTTATTGGCTACTTACTCAATTTGTGGAAAAGACATACAGTAGATATCTTATTGTAATCAGCTGTCATAGCCATGGATCCTGACTTGCATGGTCATCCAGCACATGAAACGTGGGTCTACTAAATGACCAATTGCTTAACCATCTACCGCACTTTCCATCTTGTCAGTCAATCTCAATCTTCAAATAAAATAATATAACTTATAACAACAACCTTAAAATGCCATTCACACTAGATTCCCCCAATGGTGGAAGAGTGCACATCCCGCAGGGTGCAGGCGTCATGCCACCAGAGTTAGTCTTCAAGTGACTGTGACTCAGTGACTATCGCTATGCTGACTCGGAAGCCATGCTTTTTAGCCCCCTGTCTTGGGTGTGTCTGAAAATGGGGTCTATCCCCAAATTGCCATTAAACCATTGGGAAAATGGAGGTTCTAAACTCTAAACCATGGTTCATTGGAAGACCCTTCCGACAAAGCCAAATTGATGCAAGGCTTTCTGCAGATCCCCAAGTCACCGGTTTCGCAAAATGGTCGAAAAAAATTGGATGAGAACTGGGGGTACCCCCGGACCGAGGCGGGGCCTATGTTCAGCTGAAGCGTGGTGCACTTGGCTCGCTTTGGCTCTGGCACCTTCCGGTCTTTCAAGAAGCCTCAGTGGTAAATCCAGGGGAAAGATATAGAAAGATGTGCGGTTTCCCACATCGAACTGTTGGTTTATGGTGTCTAGCTCTTCAACATCTTCATAGTCACTTACTTGGTCAGGGGTTATCACCCCAAATCGAGATGAAAACAAGGAAAACATATGAAAAAATGCAGAAGCATGAGCCAACACGACCATTTTTATGGTGAAGTTGCCCAAAAAAAATGCGAAAAAAAAATAACTTTTCAGGATGTTCAAAACATGGATTCAACCCAGACTAAAGTTCTTTTGCATTTCGGACGCCTGGATGTTTGATGAATTTCTTGGGGCCTTTTGCTTCCAACATGTCGCCCGTGTTTGATGAGAAAAAACCAGAAAGGTTCCTGCAGATGTTCAGTTAAACAACTTAAATCTACTGATATCTATTGATATCTATTGATAATATCTATTGATCCAATCGCACAAGAATAAACCATAATAAACCCATTTCACCCTTCAGCGTGCCAGTCAGGTTGACCACACGGTGGAATAACCTATTGGAAGATAAAGATCATTCTCAAAACAATAACAAACCTATGTTCCAAATGCGGATTTTCCAGTAGATTGCTGATGATCAGGAAATCCGTGCATGCAAGAAACGTTTGAAACAAGTCAGGTCCACCGCTATACAAGGATCTCATCCAGTCCCAGACTTGCTTCAAGGCAAATATACAGGATTCATCATGACTAACCTCATTCTTCCATCGCAAAAACCGCGGTTTCGCGCCATTTTGCCCCATTTGTTTCCTGTGAACATATCCGGCTTTCCTCTTTTCCCTATCGCCCAAGCTGAGATACCCTGAGGATCATCGATTTCTACAGAAAGAATAGTCTTGCTTGGAGGATCCAAAGGATCATAACTGGTCAATAACCTATTTAAGCCTATTTATGACCCAGTGATATATATATATTAGAATTATAATATAAATACATATATATAATATATTAATATATATACATATGGGACCCGACTTATTGAGGCGACTTCGGATCGGGATTGATCGGTTTGTTCACCTGGGATGATGTTTATCCCCCGTCTTCCAGCCGCCCCGATTCCCAGGATTCCCTCAATCCTAAGCTGTGAAATTCACATGGAAATCTGATGGAATCCCATATTTATAGATGGTTTTTCCATGATTTCACATATGTTTTCCTGTGAAATCTGATGGAATCCTATGAAATCATATTGAATCCAACATAATCCAACTAGGTCTCCCAATGAATGGAGTTGGTCCCAGGAAATCTCCACAGAGTTTTATACTCATGAAAAACATCTGTCTTCGAAAGTGCGCATGTCAAATAAATCCCAACTATAGTCCCCATGAAAATTGGGATATAGTATGATATAGTAATGGTTGGTTCCTTATGTGAAAAATCCCCATTATACCCTATGGATCCAGCCACACCTTCTTAGGAAGTGGGACTGGGGTATGATTTGGGACAGGGGTATGATTTGGGGGGTGTCTTGTACCTTCTCAGGAGGTGTTTGGATCCATAGGGATAGATATCTTAAGTGCATTAATGTGGGTAAAACAATGTCATGTCATAAGCCATCCCCCAGCCATCACCATTTTTATAGGTGGGATTAAAACCATTCCCAGTCATGGGTGGTAAAAATGGCATTGTTTTACCACCATTAAACATCATTAATCATCATCTTTAATAGGTATAAATCAACTATAACTCAACTACAAATGGGCAATGTTCAATAGCTATGTAAATTTACCAACGGGTAATCATCACATTACCATCTGGTTGGTGGTTGAGCCACCCCTCTGAAAAATAGTCAGTTGGGATTACTATTCCCAATATATGGAAAGCCATAAAATTCATGTTCCAAACCACCAAACAATGTATATATATATGATAAATGGTGATTTTCCATAGTTGTGTAAACGTTTACCAATAACCACATATTATATCACAATATAACCATATATAGTGTGTATATATATATAGATAACTATAGATGGATAACTATAGATGGATAACTATAGATGGATAACCATAGATGGATAACTATAGATGGATAACTATAGGTCACATTACCTATCTCACATGTCCAAGGAACGTTTGAAGCTTTTCACGCCCATCTGTGCCAGGATCTCTGAGCGCATCTCCCTCTCTTCCGATGGCGCGCTGGGTGCCATGTGCATCTCGGCCTGTTCCTGTCCGGATTGGATGGAACTCCACGGTGAGGCCCCCCATGACCGGAAAAAAACCATAGGAAAATGGGGACTAAACCCAAAAAATGGTGGTTTAATGGGATATGTATGGCTGATTTCAGGGAAATCCCCATCGAAAATGGAGGTGCTCACGGAAAAATATGTGAAATCATGGAAAATCCATCTATAAATATGGGATTTCCCATGGGTTGGTTTGTGTATGTAATGTCCTAATATAGGTGAGGCCCCCAAATGATAGCAAGTTGACGCGCACAACTTGGTTAACTAGGTTTTATGGGGGATATAACTATATATAGTTGATGAGTTTATAACTGGGGGGGGCTCACGTTTTGGGCGTTGGTGTCCTAATTGAACACCACCCAACTATTTGGGATATACTGCCCAACAGACACTTGAAAGTGATCTTCT